TTTTTTTTTTTTGTTTTTAAAACAATAAGATCTGGCAATTAAAAGAAATTTAAATAGGAAAAACACAAAAAATTAAAATTAAAACAGACGAAAATAGTACATAAAATTAAATTAAATAAATACAAATATTTTTAAAGCTTGGAAAAATTTAATAATATAAAAAATATATTTAAAAAATAAGGTCCTAAAAATTAAATGAAAAAATACCTACTTTACCTTTTGAAACATTCAAATCTAAGGCCAAAAATAAAACTAACTTAAAATAAAGATGTTTAATTAAAAAATAGGAGAGAAATAAAATACGCGTTTAAAAATTTAATAAACATACCGGATATCATATATCAGAAAATATTTTTGATAGAGTACAGGAACTTTGTATAGATCCATATGTATATGTATATAAATTCAATTCCATTCACATGGAGGAGGGCTGCCACCTGTTTAACAAATCAAATTCGTCTTGAATTAAGGGAATTTTTTTATTTGAAAATTATATTAAAGAATGGATGACATAGGGCTTAAAAGCAAGCTATCTAAAACACTAATATATGGGTTTCAAATGAGATATTGCTAAGAAACCTTCAGATTGAACATTTAAAATATTACTGAGGTGTCTTACAAGCGTTTCCACCCGATTAAAAATTAAATTTAATTGAATTACTACAATATGGGTATCAATCGAAGGGTTTTTGATAAGGGTTTTCATTCAAAACTACATGTAGGAGAGTTGCCACATGCTTGAATTATCAAATTCTTCTTGATTTAAAGGAGGTTTAAGGTAGTTTTAGTTTGAAAATATATTGAAGATATTTAAAAAATTTAAAGTCGCCTGATTTTCCCATATTTTAAGAAAGTTGAGTTTAATTAAAATAAATTACACTTAGTGTAGCACGTAGAAATTTCATACACTCAGTGAAGCGGGTGAGAGCGATCTAGTCTTAAATATATGAATTGTATGCTTTCAGAATACTTTTTTGTAATTGAAATTTATTGGGTAGGTTGTACACGATTTTGGTCGGATTTGGGAACAAAATTGGTAGCGAAAAAAAATTGTTAGTAGCTACGCTGTTCCCTTATCTTAACTCAAATCCCTTTCGCACACCCACCTACTTCTTTATTACCCGGAATGCCTTTGTGTCCCAGAGTTTCGGCATACTTGATCGCATATCGATTTACCTGTTACCGACCCAAGGTCGTTTATATACTGAAATTTAGTCAATATTTCGAAAAAAAATTTAAATATGTCAACCTTTTCTTTTTCAAAATTTTGTTACAAAAGATAAAGAGTTATCTTATTTCCACTAATATCTTAGCGGATATATCCTTAGAAGCCGCTTGAAAATTACACTTTGACTTCAGTTGGTATTAAATAGTTGGCCGACCATTGCTCGAAGTGCATATAATTTTTTCAGTTTTCAAGGTTTGGGTATCAAATAACGGTCATTAATCTAACCCAGTGATTCCCATAGTGGGCCAGGTGGACCCCCAGGGGTCCACGGAAGACTCGACGGGGGTCCACGGTGATGTGAAAAAATATGGGGGTGCATGGGTTGTAAATAGGTGTCCACGAAGTTTTATCTGGTTTCGATGTAAAGAACCAAAATGTTTGCTAGATAGTCTCTTTATTTAACTTTAATTTTTTTAGTGGTGTATTGTGCTCTTGAGGCACTGCTGCACTTACCCTCAGTTAGTGTTTTTCCTGTAGACTAAAAAGAACCGGATGCTGGTATGACAATGAGTGGGGCGCAACGAAAATTGCTGGCGGAAGAGATTTAAGCACTTGTGGCTTTTCAATGCTACAGGATAGTACGCCACCATTACCTTTGTTGAAGAGATTATATAATGTTGAGTTCCCTGAGACTGAATGCTGGTTTGATTCCATCGCTGAGACCGGACTCACACATTGTCGATTCTTCACTGATGACTTAAAAACTGACTCTGGGTCATGATCTGGGGTCTTTTTCGAGTTTAATGGAGATAAGCTTCTGTAGGGGAATATGCTTCGGTCTTCCAGGCTGATGTAATTGCAATACTCAAAGTGGAGGGGAAGGAGTTTACGTGACTGCAGTGACAACCAAGCTGCACTTAAGGCATTGACCAGCCCTCTATTTAAGTACTTCCAAACTAGTTCGGCAATGCAAGTCTCGACCAAAAATATGACGGTGAACATAACGAAGTTGTCTTACTCTGGGTGCCAGGTCACTCTGGAGTACCTGGTTATGAGACATCTGATCATTTGGCCAGAGTTGGCTCAGACCAGGCATTCCTCGGTCCGCAACCAGTGTTAGCACTCCCACCTTCGGCAATCGAAGCCACCATCAGAAACTGTGTGAATAATTCGCTCAGAAATGACTGAGAGGCATCGAGGGGATGCAGGTGGGCAAAACTCATGTTGCCTTCAATCTCACAACGTTTATCTAATTTTTTGCTCTCACTGATGTTTTAAGTTTTGTGTGTTTAAAAATGTGACAAATATTTTTCGCCTCACTTTAAAACTCGGAGCGATAAAAATAAAAACGATGGCATTAACACAAATAAACTATTTTACATATAATCCACATGCCAAGTCATGAGAGAGGCGGACATTTGATGAGTTTATGATGAAGATAATGTAAATAACGCTAGCGCCCGCAGAGCTCGTAAAACATATAACTCTTCCGAGCGAGACAGTATTTTGATGTATTTACGAGCTTTATTTTTTTAGATCTACAAGGTGGTAATGACATTATTTTTATAAATAGAACACAAGAAAATATTTTGCTTTTATTTTGGTCACTCTGAGTTTAGTTTTTGAATTCACCCACAATGCAAATTTACATTGTTAGATCTAATTTTCACATTTAATTTGTTTACGGGTTTTGGAAATATTTAAAACTGTATCAGCAGGGGGTCCACCGAGACCAGTAAATTTTTTAAAGGGGTCTACGAGAAAAAAAAGTTTGGGAACCTCTGATCTAACCCAATATTTCTTTCGATAAAAATTATGTGGATACAAATATGTCGAGCCCTAACCGCCAAAAAAGTGTCAGCGAAAACAAAAAATATTTTTTTCCGGTAGGCGTTTTCTTTTATTAACACGGCAATTACTGTAGATACAAACGTGAAGGTCAATGAACCAGTTACGTTTGATGTTAGGTATATAATACTGGCGGTGATCCTACCCATCCATAGATATATGTATATCCATATGTACATGTATACAATAATTGCTCGTTTTAAAGTAATAAGATTTAAAATGACACAGCCCATTTCGACCTCTTCTCTTTCCAGCACCCGTTGTTGGTAATTTCACAGACGAAGATTTCACTGGTGGTGGTGGTGGTGGTGGTGCCATTGGTGTGGGCGCAACGCCACAAGATAATGCAGAATATCCATTGCAGCGTGATGAAGTGGAGCGCGTCATTAATGGAAAATTTGGTGAACGCAGTCAGCAGCAAACACCATTGGGTAAGTGATTTTTTTTTTTCGTAATAAAATATTAAACTTACGTCCATTATTACATACATACATATATGCCAGCTCTTGCTCCTATATGCCAGTAGGATTTGATATAACTACATAGCTGTCAGAAATTGCAGCTTCATACAGCTTAACATTGTACTCGGATTATTGTTAAGTGAGAACTCCAAATGAATCTCACTGCCGCATTTAGACGTCTTGATGAGAGTTTCAATTACACAAAAATGCACTCCTACTACTTCTGACACTTTCATGAAATTTTGNTTTTTAGATCTACAAGGTGGTAATGACATTATTTTTATAAATAGAACACAAGAAAATATTTTGCTTTTATTTTGGTCACTCTGAGTTTAGTTTTGGAATTCACCCACAATGCAAATTTACATTGTTAGATCTAATTTTCACATTTAATTTGTTTACGGGTTTTGGAAATATTTAAAACTGTATCAGCAGGGGGTCCACCGAGACCAGTAAATTTTTGAAAGGGGTCTACGAGAAAAAAAAGTTTGGGAACCTCTGATCTAACCCAATATTTCTTTCGATAAAAATTATGTGGATACAAATATGTCGAGCCCTAACCGCCAAAAAAGTGTCAGCGAAAACAAAAAATATTTTTTTCCGGTAGGCGTTTTCTTTTATTAACACGGCAATTACTGTAGATACAAACGTGAAGGTCAATGAACCAGTTACGTTTGATGTTAGGTATATAATACTGGCGGTGATCCTACCCATCCATAGATATATGTATATCCATATGTACATGTATACAATAATTGCTCGTTTTAAAGTAATAAGATTTAAAATGACACAGCCCATTTCGACCTCTTCTCCTTCCAGCACCCGTTGTTGGTAATTTCACAGACGAAGATTTCACTGGTGGTGGTGGTGGTGGTGGTGCCATTGGTGTGGGCGCAACGCCACAAGATAATGCAGAATATCCATTGCAGCGTGATGAAGTGGAGCGCGTCATTAATGGAAAATTTGGTGAACGCAGTCAGCAGCAAACACCATTGGGTAAGTGATTTTTTTTTTTCGTAATAAAATATTAAACTTACGTCCATTATTACATACATACATATATGCCAGCTCTTGCTCCTATATGCCAGTAGGATTTGATATAACTACATAGCTGTCAGAAATTGCAGCTTCATACAGCTTAACATTGTACTCGGATTATTGTTAAGTGAGAACTCCAAATGAATCTCACTGCCGCATTTAGACGTCTTGATGAGAGTTTCAATTACACAAAAATGCACTCCTACTACTTCTGACACTTTCATGAAATTTTGAAATTTTTTTTTTTGGCATGCCAAGCGCGCTCAAGCACCTAACGACTGTCATATTCATTCAAAGCTTCGGCTTTTATTAAAATGATGTTCAATTCACACAGCTTCTCCACCGCTTTCCTTACTCAACCAGTTTCCTTCTCCCCATTTAATAACCGTAATACTCTTTTGTATGAAATCGCAATTTCACTACATATTTGCAAACCGCAACTGTATGCTGGAAAAAGTGCCGTTGCATATTGCGTTGCACAACTACGGACACAACAATGAATCGCAGACATTTTTTATATTTTTGCCCGTTAAGTGTAACTGCGGAGCAAGATTTTCATGTATCCAGCAATGCACACAAAACTCTTTCTTTCTTTGAGTCAAAACGAAATAACGCTAGTGTATGCAACATAATGTTTTTTTTTTTTAAATTTGTGAATAAAAATATTTTAAGGCATATTTGCTTTCAACGATTTTACAGTAATTCTATAAAAAAAAAATGCATTTTCTTCAAAGATCTTGCGGCACAAGTATATGTATGTTAAACTATTTTAAAATAAAAAAACGGTATTCTTATTTTCGACTTTCTTCACTACTGGGGGTGACTACAAAAAAAACTGTGGACCACCCAAATATATTAACATACATACATACATATACATTAGTAATGGATTCTGTTCAATATCGTTCAGAAAAAAGTTCATATTCATGCGCTGGTAGCTTCTATTGCAAATTTTCGGTCATCCGTTAGACGTAGTTATCTGAATAAAGCCCGTCAAGCACTGCCAGCGTGAAGTGTTCGCTCGAAGTTTTTGAAACCAAGTATGCAGTCTTCCGTGGAAGGACGCTCGAAAATGTACGCNTTGTTCAATATCGTTCAGAAAAAAGTTCATATTCATGCGCTGGTAGCTTCTATTGCAAATTTTCGGTCATCCGTTAGACGTAGTTGTCTGAATAAAGCTCGTCAAGCACTGCCAGCGTGAAGTGTTCGCTCGAAGTTATTGAAACCAAGTATGCAGTCTTCCGTGGAAGGACGCTCGAAAATGTACGCCTCTTTGGTTTATTCGAGAGAATTTCTAAAAATCTCTGCCCCTTCAATCCAAGTTTAATCGGCTTTGAGGTGAAGCGCTTGCTGTTGTCAGCACTATTCGCTGTTTTGCGCTTTTGGCTAGCAGTCTTACAGGGCCCTGATGGATGTAGCATCGTGTCGAAGGGCTCTAGAGCAGCATGGCTGTTAAGCGAATTCGCTTAATAGTACTTCTTCTTAATTTGCCTCGCTGCGAAACTGTTATGGAAAATGGATACTTCTTCCATTTTTTGCTAGAAATTATTTTTACGTGGCGGGTCTAAAGCCCAGTGCACAACTCATTTAATTTGTCATAAGCAGTTTATTCTTCCCATTATCTGCATTTAAAGAGTTACATACCTTAAAGGAATTTTTCTATGCCCACCGCCTGAGTGGAGGCTAGAAGATGAATATAGGGATCGTCTTGGCTACATTCTTTGTTGCCGTAATTTCTCCTTCAACCAGCGCCCTGTGCTCTAGATAGTTCAGTAGATTTGCATCTCGAGGCTCCAAAAGCACATTGTACACTAAAGCTGGGATCACACGATTTGTACATTTGGCTAAAAATTTGTCAAATTCGTAGACAAATCATGTGAACGCTAAATTACATTTGTTATTTATCAGGAAAGCCAAATATTTGCCTTCTTGTGGCAAATGAAAAACAACCCTGGTGGCCAAATCGTGTGAACACAATGCTGCTACAAAAGCCAAATAAAAATTAAGCAAATGACCAAATATCTGATTTGCCACTTGATGACAAATGCCAGTGACAAATATACAAATATTGTTGAGCGGTATTGCCATTTCGTGCTTGTGAACCTTTGTATTTTCCAATTTTGGAAAAATTTTAATATTTAATATAATATTCGTATCCNAACCTATGAAAAACGCGTTTTTTACCTTCAGCCCAGATTTTGAGGGTGTATTCAAAATTCTGAGTACCTGTGCGTATATATTATTTTTGTTTATTACACTTCAAATCTCACGAAATCATAAATGCAAAAGTATGGTTGACACCGGATCAGCTGTTTAAGTATTTATGACCAAATGGTTAAATCGTGTGAATGAATGTGGACAGTATTTGTCACTTTACTGCTGTGCGCAAATGTGTGCCAAATCATTTGGATCTTTGGCAGCCAAATCGTCTGATCGCAAAACAAATCATTTGTACATTGCTATCCAAATGCGCAAATGAGGACAAATCTAAATTTGGCATTTTGTGTACAAATGTACAAATCGTGTGATCCCTGCTTAAGAACCATTCCAAAGCCAATTTTCTACAATGCCAAGAGACAAGGTCAAAAGAAGTTTTTTTTGTTCTCGTAGCTACAAAAGAATTGGTCCCTTAGCCACAGCTGCTTATTACTTTTCAAACCATGAATTTGCGAGGAAATTTTAACCCTAGACTGCACTCCACTTACTTCTTCGTCGAATCGAGGACGAGAATTTTCATTTTCAATTTTTATATTACCTCTCATAGTTTTGAGCAAATGTTGAAGTATGTAAACGGTTTTCAAAAAATACGTCGTCGTTTAGACGAAGAAGGACTTCTGTGTTACCTAAGTGAGTGCCAGATTTACAATCATGAGTTTTGTTCCAAATTCCCTTTTTTAAAACATACCTCACATCCATGATGCAGTAATCAAAGTTTTCAAGGAAATTCGTTTTTAATCTTGGCATGTAGTTTTGCCTGTATGTTCTTCAAAGCATTACTATCTGGAACTTTCTGCGCTATGAATGTCTTCACATTAGCTTTCTTCTCGGATTTTTGTACAAAAAACTCGGAACAATCCACCTTCTGCGCCAGTTTTCTGGCCGAAACGTTGAGGTTCCGCTACAAAATAGTGATGAATTTAACTTAATTTTTTTGGTCGCTGATGTCGTTCTCTCTGCAGAAACCTGGCTTTCTGGAAACAACTCTCTCGATACACTTTTTGGACTGACTTTAAGTGTCCGTGGAATTTTTTTGAATTGCACAAACGATTTTCATACTTAGAATTCGCTTGGCATTTTTAAAAACGTCTAGCAAAAATATTTCACATTTGTCTCAAGGCTTATTATAAAATAGGATGTTCAGGTTTAATATTTTGAAAAAAAAAATTAAATAAAAATTTATTGGATCAAATGTAGCCGATAGTTCTTTCACACGCAGTCCTTAATACATACAGTGTCGCGTTAAATTATTGGCACAGGGATTTTTTACAATGTATATAAAATTTTTGAATTTAATTTTTTTTCCTCGAACTTTTTATAAAAATATACTACAACAAAAAATATAAAAATAAAAGCTCTAAACTTCGTGCAATACTCAGGGAAATTCAATAAATTTGCATACAAGTAGGTGAATTTTTTATCAGATTTAAATAAAATCTAAGTACGTGGTTGCTCAATGCGATGATAAGCGACCTACTAAGATGCAAGTACTTCAGTAACAATTGGCAGTGTGGAGTGGACACACTAACCACCTTGGTAGAGCCGAAGCCTGTCTAAAGCATTTGCTGTTCTTGTGTCCGACACCCGCTTGAAATGCTACTCCACATGGAACCATTACTGTTTCTACCGTATTTGAGTGTTAAACCACAGCCTCCACGAAAATCCCCGAAGGCCGGTTCCCTAGAACAGGCCAATTAAGTCTCTGGTCAGACATCGAAGCCCAAACCTCTGCCATTTGAGCCTCCGTTCCACTCGAGGACTAGCAGCCTTGGAATGGGTACCCCGGGGGTACCACTTACTCGGAATCCCCTGCGAGGGATCACTTACTCAGTGGAGACCTATTTTTTTTTTTACAAAAAAATGTACCGCGGTAAAACCAAAGCAAATCCTTCCGAGCTCCGTTGATATGACAATATACACATTTATTAAACCTACAAAATGTAGTGTAGCCTTGCTATTTAGGTACTGTCTTCAATCATCAAATAAACAGCTGAATTTTCCATTACCCTATCATCCTACACAGTGATTTCACCCAAACCAATTGATCATCCGGAACCGGAAAGCAGCTTAATTGGCTACATATTTGCCGTATTAGTGGCCATAATTTTGGTGCTAGTCATTGTCATACTCTTAATTGTCATACGTAATAAGCGCGGACGTGGCGGTAATGTGCTCGATGCATTTCAGCACAATTTCAATCCGGATACACTTGGCGGTGCTGATAAACGACTCAACTGCAATGGCATGAAGGTGAGTGGGTTGTTCATTTTTGTGCTTTAATTCTGATGATGACTACAGCGTTTTAATTCTTTTTTTCCACAATTTCCACATAATGTCTCAATCGTTTTGTCCATCTCTGTTTTTCGTTTGCAGGCCGTCACCGTGGACAATGACACGGAGTCCATTGACAAGAGTAGCCTGTATCATGAGCCATTTAATGTGAACATGTACACAAGTGCAGCGAGCGGCTGCTCCATGAATGACATGCAACGACAACATGTCACACCGGACTACACAGGTATGCAAATTACTTATTATGTACATATGTACGTGTATTTTTTTTTTTTTTGTTTTTTGTACTATGGATTTATATGAAAGTGCCTGTGTATGTAAATTTTCGTTGTTCAAATTATGAAGAACATGTTTTTCTCGCACGCAAATGGGACGGGTTGTGTCAACAAATAATACTTAATAGCAAGTAAATCGCATCGCTTACATACTACGCACTTGTATAAGTACACATACATATGTACGTATAAATTGATTTAGTAGCTCAAAACCTTCTCAATTTGAAAATTAGGTGAATACTTCTGTATATCCTGCTGGTCCGGTAGCAGCCAATTAAACACCTTTTACAGATTTTTCACCGAATGCAACCACGGTTTCATTCGGGCTTTATTTATTCAAACCGGCTTTAAGAAGCATTTTCATCGCTACTCCTGCATTTAAACATTTCATAATTTCAGTCGAATAGGCAGGCACTTAAAATCTATGATTCCTCTTTTGCCGAAAGTTAAGTACGTATCTCGCTCTTATCCTGGATTCTAAATTTATGCGGAAGTTTCAGGTTGATGGGACCACATCCTAAACTACGAGGGAACTGACATATAGCTCCGAGCTAGCCGCCAATCTATCCTATATGGAAGGCCGTGCAAAAGACTATCTTAACCCTTTGACGACCGTTACTGATCCGTTGGGAAATTCAAAGATATGACACCTGATTCGAGTTCAGCGAACCCGTTTTATTAAACAGCTGCTAACCCTGGTACCCTACTCCCGGAAAAACCAATAAAAGGCTATGAAAAACCTTTACGTGATGGAGTTAAATGGACGTGACCAAAAAAACATATAAAAATAATGGTCTGGTAACAGGAAGAATATATATATATTTTTTTGTGGAGCTGTGTTATCTACTAATCAAGACCTATTCGAAAAAATCGGATCCATAGTTTTTCCAGGAAATTTTTATATGAAAAATTGACATTGGTGTCCCTTTGGTCGTCAAAGGTCATCGTCGATGAACTATTCTAACTTTGTACTAACTCAGGGCTGTCAGACAAACTATCATATTTAAGCTTTGTCGGACAAAATATCCTTTTTTTTTTGATAGTTTGTTATGCCGTTAAGCTATGGACTTAAGACAAAAAAAAAATAGGCGCGTCTGAGTAAGGATAGTTTATATGACACAGCTGAGATAGGATATTTTGTTCAGGTAGTCTTTCGCATGACCTTAAAATTAGGAGAGATTGATGGCTATCGACCACTTGCGATGAAGTTACCTTGGTCCACCAGGATGGTGTAGAGGCGTCTGTATAGCAAGTTTTGGGGGTACAGCCCAAAGATCCTGATATGAATGCACACTATGATAGCACGGCATGTAAGAAATTAAATATGGGGTGGAAAACTTCAGCTTTTAGATCTAATTTAGTCAAAGTAAGACAGTTGTTAACAAAATTTCAAACGTTCAGCCTGTGTGTGCATCACGGGAGCGGTTTTCACTTGCCTGGTTGCAGCACCAGAGGATATTCTCGACTTTGCGCTCCGTTCAATTTCGTCAAAGAGGGTATTGGCAGAAAAAAACTTGTATCGTCCAGGAACCTAGAAAAGCTAGGTTCAAAGCTAGAGGATACCTTTTTTACAGAGATAAAATTAACAGGGCAAAATTATCTCCCCTGCTGTTTAACCTCGTGCTTAACGAATTTTTGCTCCGCACATCGAGAGTCCCTGAGGTTGTTGCCTATGCAGATGACTTAGCCATTTTGGTCGTGGGGAAATTCCTCTCCATGGTCCGCGAGATTCAGCGATCTGCAATTAACGATCTGGCGGGGTGAGCAGAGTGAAACGGTCTAGGGGTTAACCCATCCAAAACCGAACTTGTTTGAGAGACGGCTCCAAAATGGATGTCGGATCAAGATCTGAAGTCCTCTTTCGGGAGTTATCTCTGAGAGAGTCTAATAGACTCCCGGATCACTGCATTGTTTTTCAGGCTCAGATAAATGCAATCGACATGGCGGCAAAGTTGGCGAAAATAATCGACCTAGCTCCATCTAAACTTGCCTTCATCGTTGACAGTTAGGCAGCTACCAAAGATATAGGGTCGGAAGGGACTAACTCGATATGTGTTAGGGAATGCCGAAAATCCCTGCAAACTCTAGAGCAACACATAATCACCCTTTACTGGGTCCCGAGGCACAATGGTGTACCAGGAAATAAGGAAGCGGACGAATGTGTTAGAAAGGGATCTCAAATTTGGTTTGGGGAGGCGATCCAGATCGTGAAACCTCCTCTGCGATTTCTGTTTTCGGAAATCGAGAGAGTGACCAAGGCAGTCACCAACAGCAGGTGGGAAAATCTGCACCCCTATATATATATATGGTATCACGCCCGCTCTGGTCACGGCTCGATAAACGAAGAACAAGGAGTTTATTAAGGCTGTCAAAGCCAAACGATAAGCTTTTCACGGGAATACTAACGGACAATGGACCATTGCCCATACGGCCGCCAGGTTCGGAGCGCCACATAACGATTTCTGTAGAAGCTGTAGAGATGAGGAGGATGTAGAATCCGTCCAGCACTTCTTCTGTGAGTGTCAAAAATGGACGATTGGTGTTTCAATGTTTTTACAATGTTTTTCAGCATAAATATTTTTTGCTATTTTTTTATAAAAATATGGTCTATGCTTTAACAAAAAACCATATAAATCACACTTTATACAGAACTTAGAAAAATTCCTCAAATTTGTATCTAAATTTCTTATTTCTTAGTAAAATAAATGCAAGTTTTGACCGGCTAGAAAATCGCATTGACCTTAAACATTTTTTTTTTTTTGTTTACGGTGTTTTTCACTTTTTCCATATAAACATGAATTTCTTGTGGAAGGATACGCGTAAGACCGTTTGCGAAAAACTAAAAAAAATAAACGCCAGTTTTCCTAAATTTTGCTGTTTATATGGAAAAAAAACTCAAAAGCCGTCAGCAAAAAAAAAGGTTATTAACAAGTAATTTTTAGCAAAAAAACCGACTTAAAAAAATATATATATGTCTATATATTTCATGATCCAACGATCGGATCTAAACCAAATTAGTATGGGACCACCTCTGAGGCACTACCTTTCCGTTTAATTATTCAAATCGGTTGACGTGGTGCAAAGTTATGCGGTAACATACATAAAAAAAAAAAAAAAAAAAAAAAAANAAAATATATATATTTGGACGAACTGATAAAAATCAGTGCGTTTTTTTAGCCGCTCAAAACTTGCACTTTTTTTACTAAAATTTTACAAGCGTGTTAAGTGCATACCCAAAAAATTTATAAAAATTTTGGTTAAAAAGCTCGAAATTTAGATAAAAATTTTGTGGAATTTTTCTAGATTCTGTATAAAGTCTGAAAGTGTGGTTTGTATGGTTTTCGTTAAAATAAAAATAAATAAATATCAAACAAATCTTAGCTTGAAAAAACATTGTAAAAATTAGCAAATGATTTTTAGGCAAATAACAGAACCGACTTCAATTCTCATATAAAAATTTAAGATTATCATTAATTTTTTCATTATCCAATTATCGGATTTAAGCAAAATTAGTATGGGACCCTCTGTGAGGTAACACCTTTCCTTTAAAAAAGAATTATTGAAATCGGTTGACGTGTTTCAAGGTTATATGGTAACATACATAAAAAAATAAAATAAATATTCCGACGAATTGATAACCTTCTCGTTTTTGTGAACTCGAAAGCGAAAAGCGAAACACCATTCATCCATTTTTGACCGCCACTGTATGTACAGTTATAAAATTTTGTATCGTTAAATTAACACATTATCGATCAAATCATCGACTAATATCAGATATTGTTATTGTTTAACTTGTCGATTTTATTGTCAAAATAATGGATTTAGTTACTAATATATTTTTCCATGTTGCTACAGTTTAACTTATCGATATATTTTTCGTTATGATTGTACGTGAACAAAGTTATCGATTTAGTTTCCGATACAGTTTTGAATGTTGCTATTTTCTTATCTATCGATATCGATGTAATATTGATTTAGTTATCGATTTTTTGATCACTAAAAAAAGGTAGGGACGTATACAGGCAGGGATAGTTAAATTACTATAAATTGCACGTTATGAGTACCCTTCTATGTAAACATATGTACATATCTATTAGGGTGCAGTACTATTCATAGAAATGCATTCGTAATAAATAAGTAAAACAGAAACATACGAATACACGTCTGGAACATAATGGCACTCTGTATAAAGCTAATCAATTGCCAAAACCACTTTCTAATGCAATGATGTTGAAAATTTTACAACTGGCAAGTAATTTGTCAGCACAGCAAATAGTTTTTTTAACTAAGCAAAAACAAAGAAAATATTATTTCATAACTACCTTTTATTTGTTTTTATTTTTATTTTATTTTTTTGGTTTATGTACATTTATGACAAACTAACATTTTAATTTGCTGCTTGTAAGTTAGTTAATATGTATCTGAGTGGCGGTGTGCGTCTATGTTCATTTACAGCGGCTGCCGATGACAAAGTAAAAAAGTAATTTGAAGGTAACAACAGGCAAAAACCGATAGAGTTACCAATTTGTGTGTGTGTGTGTGTGTGTGTTGTGTTGGCAAAACTACGAACTCTTGTTATTGGAGTTGTTTGTCGTTGTCGTAGTTATTGTTATTGTCATTTCCATTGCATGTAGTTTTTCGGTGAATTTCATTTGTCATCACATGACACCAGTGCCGCTGACAGGACATGTAACGTAAAGGCACAGATGGGTATGTTTGTATGTGTAGTTAGCGCGCATGCAAATGCCGGCCAGCACACAAATAAATGAATGTGGATGCACACACACACACACACACATATGTACACTTACCTTGCAAAATGAAGCGTCGGTCACCTGGGAGCAATTTTGTGTAGCTTGTAATTTAAGGCAACAATCGCCTTTACAGCGCGGCCATTTCGGCATTTTCATATGCATATAGCGTTGGTAGTGGATCATAAAAACGGTAGCAACAACAACAACAAAGAATGACAAAAACATTAGCGCTGTCATTTTTGTCATCAACGGTTAACATCATCGAGCAGAGAGCAATATGCACAACGACGCGTTTGCAGGTGAGCAATGCACAGTAATGATAGGATAAGGTGCAGTGCAACGGACAGGCAGAAGAGCAGGCCAACAAACAAGCAGTCAGTCAGTAAGCAAGAAAAAAAAAACACAAAAGAGAAAAAATCGAAAAAAGCAAACAAAAAGTCAGCAGGTTGTTGACATTTTTATTGTAGTTTTCATTTTACATTTATGCAACGTGCAACATGGAATATGGAACATGCAACATGTACAGTATCGGTTATATCTATAGCACGCCATTTCAAAGTGATATTGTGTGTCACTTATGTTTATTTCTTTATTTTTAAGAATTTTCAATTAAAATTTAGTTCATTCT